TTTGTATTTATTTTAAAATATTACGTTACAAGCACTTTACATTGGTCTTGATCAACGGTTCTTTGAACTTTATCTGTTTTTCTTTTGTTTTTTCCCACTTTCAGTTTTTGTGTGATGTAAAAACCCTAAAAATTTGGAGGACAAAATAATTCATATTTAAAAACAAGCGTCAGAGAATCGTGTCTTTGGAAAACATTTTAATACCATCCAGCAGAGACAGGATGTTGCTGGACCAAGTTTTGGGAAACACTTTGTTGGTGCTAGAATCTCATTTTCTGTCAGACAGTTTGAGATTTAGTTTAAAAATTCAACAAAAATGGAACCAAATTGCATCTTTGTGGCAAATTATTGGTAACAAAGAGCTGAAAACTCCAATATCTTGTTGTACTTACGTGAGTTGTGGCAGCCTTCTTCAATTAGATTGAATCCAAAAGAGGTTCAGCCAAAGATCTGTTCATTGGTTTGTGAGATATTTTGCTAACAGGTAGATAAATGAACACCCAAACGTTCAGGCGACAGTGAGGGCTCGACCCGTTTGTTTGGTTTGTAAAGTCTTCCAGTTGTTTTCTCTGWAGATAAAATGTGATCCAAAGTGAGTGACATGATGAAGGARGAGGAGGAGGAAGAGGAGGCAGATGTTGCTTTGTTAAAAATGACTGTTGTGTAATTAAGRACAGAAGAACAGAAGCCTGACCCATTTTCTCCTTTTGATCAGGGAGGTCTGCTGTTTGACAAATCTGTTTCTGGATCAAACTTTGATTTAAAAACAAATGGTTTCCGTTTCCTCAGAGTTCAAAATGCTGAAAACGAGGAAGTTGCAGAAGTGATGAGTGCAGGACGAAGAGGAGGAGACTGAGGAAGATCGGAGACTTTAAGGAGTTTGGAGTCAGCATGTCTGCAAACCAAACGCTGGCATCACTGCCAGGCAGTGCTTTAAGACTCTTTATGGAGACGTTTTATCATCTCAGAAAGATAAAACAATGTTTTAGAGCTTGCATAATGAAATAACTGATAGTGGAGTTTTATTAAGGAAAAACAAAATTAATCTTTGCATCCAGGAACTACAGCTCCCATGAGGCCTCGTGGCTTCTGAAACATTTTTATAATCAGCTATGAGCATCCAGAGATAGTCTGTAAACACATCAATACACATAAATTACCCAGATTCATAGTTTAATCCATACGTAGAATCATTTTAAAATACATGTCAAGTAATCTAATATGTTTCCTACAAATATTGAGAACAAAAAAACAAAATCCAACATGGCTGCTCTCATGTAAAGGTGGTGATGTCAGTGTGGTAAAGTTTTCATCATCTCATTAAATCACTCAAAATGTTGTAAAACCTGTCATCAAACATCGTATGACCTCTGTTGGTGAATGTCGTAGGAACTGTTAGCAAACTTTTACCAACTTTGTTAGCAATTTTTTCACAACCTCTGATACCAAATGTCACGTGACCTCTGTTAGCAAACGTCATACATCTGTTAACAAACATCACATGATACTCACATGATACATACTCTATTAGTATAAACGGTTAACGTCGTACATCTTAGCAAACATTGTACAGCATCTGTTAGCGAACATTATAAAATATGTTAGCAAACATCATACAACATGTTAGCGAATATCGTATAACATGTTAGCAAACATCGTATAACATATTAGCAAACATCGTATAACATGTTAGCAAACATCGTATAACATATTAGCGAACATCGTATAACATGTTAGCAAACATCGTGTAACCTGTTAGCGAACATCGTATAACATGTTAGCAAACATCGTGTAACCTGTTAGCGAACATCGTATAACATGTTAGCGAACATCGTATAACATGTTAGCAAACATCGTATAACATGTTAGCAAACATCGTATAACATGTTAGCGGACATCATATAACATGTTAGCAAACATCGTGTAACCTGTTAGCGAACATCGTATAAAATGTTAGCGAACATAGTATAACATGTTAGCAAACATCGTATAACATGTTAGCGAATATCGTATAACATGTTAGTGAATATCGTATAACATGTTAGCGAACATCGTATAACCTGTTAGCAAACATCGTATAACCTGTTAGCGAATATCGTATAACCTGTTAGCGAACATCGTATAACATGTTAGCAAACATCGTATAACATGTTAGCGAATATCGTATAACATGTTAGTGAATATCGTATAACATGTTAGCGAACATCGTATAACCTGTTAGCAAACATCGTATAACCTGTTAGCAAACATCGTATAACATGTTAGCGAACATCGTATAACCTGTTAGCGAACATCGTATAACATGTTAACGAACATCGTGTAACATGTTAGCCAACAAACTGTTAATATTGAACAAGCTGTTAGCGAATGTCGTACAACACAAGTCTGTATGGTCAGAATGCGCCATTTAAAGTAGGTTGTTAGCTTGTGTTGCTAATAAAAGTTAGCCTGAGCACAAGAGAGAAAAAATACGACAGATTTTCAGAGGTTTCACTTTGTGTAACCTGACATCCTTGTGTTTTTAATGAAGGTTATTTGTATCCTGGTGTATCTGCAGGGTTATATTTTAAAAAAGAATAAAATCAAAAAGTTTGAAGCCAGAAAACTTGAGAA